AGAGAAGACTCTGGTGCCAAGACCCACTTCTTTCACAGTAGCTGCCACCTGAGGTAGGATATTTGTCTTTCTTTTCAGTCGAAGACAGCCTGAGCAGCTGCTGCTCACTTGCTTCATACCAAAAAAGAGCAGCTTTACTCTGCTTTTACTTTCTGAAAATAGACACCTGTTTTCAGATGCATTTTCAGATATGGGCCATAAGCATGACCCATAGCTTATGTCACCTTTAATAGATCTGCTGTTTGGAGCTGTGTGTCGGTTATGGGATATAAGAACGGGTAGGTATGTGGCAACCAGATCCTAACTGCTCTTGGTGATTCTAAGCTGCTTCTTGCCGCAGGATTTCAGCACCCTGCCCTTTAGCCTGGTTTTCTTGCACGTAATGTGGAAAATTACTTCAAGACAAGGCCTTTTCACAAACCTGAAATTATTATTAGCTTTTAACCTCGGAGAGTTTTCACGTTCCCTTCTTTGATTTCAGATGTGTCTGTTGGTGGTTTGATTTCTGTGTGGTTTCTAAGTAGATTCCAACAGTCTGTTTTTATTAATAGTACAATTTTAAAGATTTTCATGATTGCTTGAGAGAAGAAGGAATATTAGGAACAGATTCCATCTGTGAAGTGTAGAATTTTCATTAAAGTATGAGAAATGGAACAAATGTTATAAAAGGTGACATTTCTAATCAGTTGCTTTCTTGATGATCGTCTTATTTCTAGTGTGAGGTTCTAAAAGTCCTTTAAAGAACCTCTCAGTGGGAAGTAAGAGAGCAGCTGAATTCTGAAGCCACGAACTTCCTGGCTGCCCAGCCCCAAGTAACACTCTCCTGAGAAGGAACCGTCTGCCTTTACACTCTTTCAGCTTAAGTCTATAGCTCCATAGTCTTGACGTGTGGCAGTCCCAGCAGATGGGCTCAGTGTGTGAACGCCTGCACTCTCTGGCTCCCTCGTGCCAGCTGACAGGCCGCTCCAGGTGACTTCCCCGTCAGTGCAGAGGGTGCCCGCGAGTGCTGACTATTGAGGTGCACCTTGTACTCCCAGACCAGGTGTGACCTGTTTGTCATTTCTGTTTGAGGGGGGTGACCCCACTTTCTCTCTTTTATAACCCCCCCTTCCATATTCCTGTCCTGCCTTCCTATGTGGCTCATAGTGGTACTGGGCCACTCTGTCCATTCTTTCTACAAGCTGATCTCTAAATGCTAGAAATTGTGAGCAAGATTTTTCCCCTAACTCCCTTTTAATGCCATCCATCTTACCTTTCCAGTTATATCTGAAACTAGCAGTTAAAAGCCTTTTGGTATAAAATGCAAAATTTATAAACATATTTCAGTCCTTCTTGTATGCCATTTTCAGAGAAAACGGGCCCTCTTTGAACTTGCTTTACATAAGAGATGGATTTCCTAGTCTGGAGTTGTGGCCAGCCAAGACACATTCCTTTCTTCTACTCTTGAGCTGTCCCTTTTGCTTGGAGAAGGCCCCAGTTACCACAGCAAGGCTATGGGGCCGAGCTATCTCTGTGTCTAGCTCTCTTGGCTGCCTTGACTGCCAAGAGTGAGACGGAAAGAGTTGGCACAGCTGTCTCTGAGAGCCCAGGGAGGCACAGAGGCCCTGGGGCACATCGGTGTGACCGCATGCACTGAAGAGTGGAATAAAAGTTGGGAGGTTTGTAAGAATTTGAAAAACCCCCATGAAGAGTTGGCATTGCTGATGTGACCAGCTTAACCCAGTCAAGAAGGTTACCCTGAAATTGAACCTGATTCTCTCAGGTAAATGGTTTGCTCTGGAGTGTCTTTTTCCACCAGCATTGTCTTGAGTTAGCTGGAAAGCCAGTGCTGATTTCTGACTTGCTTGCATCCTGATGCTGTGACAACTGTCAGGCTGAGTGCAGATGTGTGCTGTCCTCACAGAAGCTGGCCTGTGGGTGAGATGGGTCCCACTCACATGGTGCCATATTTGCCAGGAGATCATGGCTGGCAGGCAGTGTCTGGTCAGGTGCTCAGGGAATCCCGGAAGGGTACAAGGCTGTGCAGTTCTCTCTTTTTTTTATGTCAGAGCTGTCGGCTTGGGTGTTAGACAGGAACATGAAAGTGCAGTGTGTTAGAAGCTCTACTTGTCCTCCAGTAGGAGCCCTGCCTGGTGGCTTTGTTCACATCCTGCTCCTCCCGGGGTCTGGAAGACGGTGGAGGGATATCAGCTCGCCTGCCCTCTTCCTGAGGTGTGGCCTCAGTGACCGATGGCAGCCACATTTTCTGAAACAAACCTTGAGATATGGGATCCTGACTTGACAAAGTTGGGTTTTATTTTCTATCAGTTAATTTAATTAAACTATAGATATGAAGTTATAAAAATTTAATTAAAACCACAGAAAAGTATATGTTTAATGAGTTTCCTTTATTTAGAAGAAACCAGTGTTCATAAACTAGGGACTCTTTCAGACAGCCTTGGAAATCTGACTGCTCTGAAACTCATTCCTGGGCCAGGAGCTTTTAGTCAGTTGGGTTGTGATGGTGCTGATGGCAGCTACATTTACCGAGCACTTACTGGCACCAGGGACCATGCACACATTTCCATGGACTAATTTATCCGATTCAACAAACCTGCGAGGTGGGTACTCACATACCCTAATTTACAGATGAGAATACTGAAGCTCAGAGCTGTGAAGTCCCTCACCCAGGCTGGCAAGTGGCTGAACCAGGATGTGAACCCAGGCAGGCTGTCTCGAGGGTTCCTCCTTGTAACCCCTGTACTGTGTGTGTTTTCTAGGCGGTCTCTGAAACCTCTGAATTTCGAGAGGCAACAGGCTGAGTACTGGTGCTTGGAGCTGCCCACACAACACACACACACACACAGAACCTTCAGTGCAGCTCAGGCTCAGCCCAGCTATAGGTGTCACTCAGGCAGAGTCCTTAGCCTGTGTTTGGAGCAGTGTGCAGGGTTGTTTCCACCCTGCTGACCAGGGGGAGCTCTGATTCCCAGCCCAGAGGCTGAGCCCCACTGCCCTTTTGTGAGCAGTGTCCCCATCCCCCTGGTCATCCTAGGCAGCAACTGGTCCCCACATGATTCTGGGCCAGGCAGGGTGGTTCCCTTTCTGACCTGCCTGGTATAAGGACCTGGGATTGCAGTGGGAAAAAGCTCTTCCCAAACAACTATCCTGCTGGGTTGAAAGCCCTGCCTCCCAAGTTTATTACCTAAAACCTCTGAGCTATAATTACCTTGAGGCCTACTTGTGTTTTATGTCAATTGCTGTAATTTTTTGGTGAAGCTACACCATGAAACTGGCAATCATTTCTGCCCCCAGCAGTCACTCCTCCTGCTCCCAGGAAACACTTGCAGCAACGTTTTAAGTACTTCCAGGTGCCAGACAAAGGATCCTTGGGTCCTAGCATATACCCTGGGATTCAGCCGGCATTATGGCCAGAACAGGCCTGAGCTTCCTGTTGGGCAGGGTGGTGCCATCAGTACCCAGGTGGATGCTTTAAATTGGTTACTTTAATTACCCTCCCATCCAGCTGTAGGCCTGGCACAATAGGGTGAGAGCGAAATGTATTCACTTAGACAGTGGCTGGGGTCTTTCAGAAGTAGATTAAGTGGAGGTTGATTGGGAGTCGTTTTACAGGTGTTTATCCAAGACTGCAATTAGTTTTTTATGGTGAGTGAGAATTTAGGTGTGTTTGGAAAGGCAGGTGAAGAGTTCATCTAAATACTAGACTAGCTGACCTCACAGTTCACATTGGAGCAGAACCCAGTTGCCTTGGAACAGCTTGGTTTTGATCAGGATAGCCCACCCTGAACCTAAAGGATCAGAGCCACTTGGGAGGTAGGAAGTGGGTGCTGGCGCTGAGTGGGCTCTGGCTCCAGGGCATGCGCAGAGTTGGTGTTGTCCTGGGACAGGAAGCAGAGTATTTTAGAGATGAGGAGTTGAGGAGGTAGGACATGTAGTAGGTGGCGAGGTTTCACAATCGCTCCTAATGTGATGAGTGCGTGGGAGCTTTGGCTGCTTCACAGGAACTCTGCCCATGGCTTAGCCTCTCCTTCGCTGAAGAGGGTCACTGTGCTCATAACACCGCAGTCCTGCCGGGGCTGTGGGAGACGCTGGCCACCTGACAAGTGGCCTCATGGCGTTTCTTTCAGTGACTGACGCGGTATTGCTCCTCCCTCACCCACATCTCCCCTCTTGGCTGTTGCTTTAGACACAGGGGCATAGGTGAGTGATGGGAGGCTGGCAGGAGGAAGGAAATTAGGGGCAGTTGTGGAAAAAACCTGTGTGTTTCCTAAGAATTGACTGCACACTGTTGCACAAATGCTCATGTGGCCTCCTGGTGTCACCTGTCCGACTGGCTCGTCGGTGATGCTGAGGGAGAACTGCCTTGGTGCACTGCAGGGCTACCTGCTCCATAGCCTGAGCCAGGGCCCTTCTGGGCAAGGCCAGCTCCCTGTGCTGAATTCCATTTGGGTGTCCAGGAGGCCTGTGGCAAGAGCACACTTGGGGGCCATTGCAGGTGCCACCCAGGGATGCCCCACTCAGGAGCATCATCTGCTCAGGGAGGAGTATAAAGATTGGTTTGATTTTTTTTTTTTTTGTCCTTTGAAAAAAATTTTTTTCTAGTTTCACAAATACCCAGGAATTTAAAATGATAATGGTGTTACTTAAGTTTCCTAAAATAGGTGTCTGAAGGAGAATCAGGTGAGTACTCATACACTAGTGCTCCTGTGACACTCACCAGGTAACTGGGCCCCAAGCTAAGTGACTGTCTCAGCCTGCCCTGGGTCACTGTGCACCTCTGAGGCACAGCATGAGGTCTGTGGCTTTGCTCTCTGCTCCTGTCAGTGCAGAGAGAGAGAAGCAAGTTCCATGATGCACAGGATAGGAAGACTGGCTGGACTCGGAGCTGAGGTCCTCGCAGGAGACACTTGGGCTCTGTATCTGACTAGGAGAAGAACATTGGCATGTTTCTTGAGTTTTCCCATTTTTGTAACTAGTTTATTTGGTTTTGGTTCTTCCAGGAAGAGTCTGCTGACAGTGAGGGTCATGGACTTTGTCACCTCGACGGCCGCCGCGCCCCTGCTGTTTGGCTGTGTGGGCATCTTCAGCCTCTTCAAGCTGCTGCAGTACATGCGGGTGAAGGCCTGCCTCCAGAATGCTGTGGTGGTCATTACAGGCGCGACCTCGGGGCTGGGGCGAGGTGGGTCCTGGATGCAGGGCTCTCGGGAAGGAAAGTTGGCCTGAGCTTGAGGAGCAGCTCGGCTGCCCAGGGACCACCAGCACAGGTGCAAATAAGCGAAGCGGGTTGGTGACGGGAACCAGAGTATGTCACTGTCCTCAGTCCAGTTGGTAAAAGCAAGAGCTTAAGTGCAGTGAGACTTTCAGCATCAGTTTTGGGAGGCAAAGGCTTGTGAGGAAGACCGAGCAAAGTGGAGACTGCAGGTCCATCTAAGGCGGCGGCCTTACTCCACACCCGCTGGATGTTGATATAGGGCTTTTTATGTGAAGGCTCCCAATTTTTAAATATGGACGACGACCTACCTCTGTGAGGGCCAAAGCATGCCTTTTCCTGGGCCCAGCCAGCACCATGGTTTATGGCCTTGGTGTCATCTTTTCCATGTCTTCTCTTTTTTGTTGTTAACTCTCACCCAAGGATATTTTTCCATTGATTTTTTGGGGGGGGGGGGGAGAAAG